ATACGGCTTAGAAGCTTTTCATGCATCGTTATACTGAAAGACCACTGACAAATGTTCAAGTGTTGACGTTAACACAGTCTTTTATTGGTTATACAGAGTTCAGAGGGGGCATGACTCCACCATCAGAAAAATATCCCTCATCATCACTATCAGAATCAGAAGATAAAGGACCATAACACGCTATTTTACAATACGTTGATCCGCCTGTGCCCCACAAATCATGTTCGCAGTCGCAAGCAAACCAGTTTTTACACAAATTGCAGCTCTTTAACTCACAGGGTAGATAGCGCGGTCTCTGGGATAGCTCATAATCCCTGTTATAGTCTAGATCAGAAAAATCTGCAGAATCTTTGTGACCACGGCGATTACCACAGGAATATAAAATCGGGGTGTCTTGAAGTGTTTGCTGTCTAGGTGTTATTAATTCAGAGGCTGCAAAATATAAAACACTTCCTGTTAGTGTGCTATCTGCTCCAGCAGCATTTACATTATTATAAATAAAAACATATTTACTTACCATTGCTGGGAGATAATGTAGCCTCATTCACCATTTCACAGGCTGTCCGTGTCTGTACCTCATCATTCAAGTTACAGCACACCATGCTACAGTCATGCAACACAGGTCTGAATAAAAAATTTTCTTTATCATAACCCCTGCAACAGATTTTGTTGCATTCTGCCGGCTGGGGCCTTGTATCAGAGTGTTTGACGCTAGCTTTTGCTGGTTTAAAAACAGCTTTGGAATCAGAGGTTGCCATCTTCAAAAGACTGCTGGAATTAAATCGCTAGCTGTTCAGGCCTGCCCGCACAAACTCCCTTGCCCCTTGCAATGCCACGCCCTTGAGCATTGCGCCTGCCCAGATCACGGGAGTATGACATGCCCGGGCATGTCCCAAACAAGGCCTCAGAAACATGCATGCGCGGAATCGCGGTCCTGACACGCCTGAACAAGTTTTAAACCCCTACTTGCCGCCTGGCTGCTTGCCTCTTGTGAGCATTTTAATTCCTGTTAATATTCCTTGTTTTTTGCTATAGCGGGGACAGATTAAATTTTATTCAGGGTGCAAATGGCAAAATATGTGTCTTTAGATTTTTACAAAGGTGAAAACCAGCTGGGGTTTTTAAAAGGGCCGTGGTTTGTTTGTTTTTT